GCCCCACAACCAACAAAAAAAAAAAAAAAGGAAAAAAAAAAGTTCCACTGTACTACTTTTGTGTATGGTCCTAGGGCTTGAATTCAGGGCCTGAGTACTGACCCTGAGCCTTTGTGCTCAAGGTTAGCACTCTACCATTTGAGCTACAATTTCATTTCCAGCCTTTTTTTTTTTTTTGGTCAGTCATGGGGCTTCAACTCTGGGCCTGGGTGCTGTCCCTCAGCAATTCATCTCAAGTGCTCTACCACTTGAGCCACAGCACCACTTATGGTTTTCTGGTGGTTAAGCTGGAGATAAGAGTCTCATGGACTTCCTGTCTGGGCTGGCTTTAAACTGTGGTCCTCAGAGCTCATCCTCCTGAGTAGCTAGGTTACAGCCAACGGCGCCTAAAGAAAGTTTTATTTAAGTCATTGACATTCTATCCTGAACACTCAAACTAAAAAACTTGTTTTATATCTCAAAAGTTTCTCAAGGAGACCTGACACTATGGCTCGCTCGTTTCTGAAATCCTATCTACGCGGGATGCAAAGGTTAAAAGGGCTGGAGCTTGAGGCAATCTGTCTGATCTCAGGCAAAAGGAGCAAAAAATTTATGAGACCCTCATCTCAACCAATACAAAGTTTGACACAGTGGCACCTGCCAGTCATCTCAGCTATTCAGGAAGGGTAAATAGAAGGACCGGGGTACTGACTAGTTGGGACATACATGTGAGACACTATTTTCACAAAGGAGAAACCAATTTAGGCTCCTAACAACTTAAACATCTGAAAAAATAGCACTCCAGTTTTATGTATCTACCCATGTCTACATTTAGCCTAGCTCCAAGGTTCTGAACAATTCATCTGTTTCCCATTGTTGCTCTACCTGGTCAGGGTTGACAAGTACTAGCCACACATGGTGCCATATATCCCAGTGATCCTAGCAAGGAAGCAAGAGAATCAAGCACTCAAGAGACTGAGGTAGGAGGATTTTGAATTCAAGACTAGACCGGTCAAGAAAAATAATGAACAAAGCAAATTACTGAGCCAAGAGTCAGATTTATGCTCAGAGTACCTCTACAAGATCCTTTCTTGGTCTCAACTTTAAGAGGGGTTCGCTGAGACGGATAGAGCACATTCCACCTCTTCCTTCGTAGAGGCAAATTCCAGCGCACCTGCAAACATCACAACATTTTATGTTCATCAAATACACACGAAAGTCAACAGAGCAAATTCTTACCTGCTGGTGAGCAGCAGGAAGAAGGCCCATCTGGAGATAGATGGCTTCCCCATGGTGACTCTCCCAGGCAGATACTTAACCAGTGAGTAGTAGTACCTCCTTACTGGTGCCCGCACAAAGGCCCAAGAAACAGAATCCACTCTGCCACCCAAAGGCCATCATGACAGGTGGTGAACCGGCCTGTCTGCACTGGCACAAAGGGGCTGTGTGAAGATGTGCACGCTCACAGTTTTCTACCCTACCCTACTCTTGTGAGCGCTTACAACTCCACCTACACCTAGCTCCTCTCACGCCTGGGAAAGGCTATGAGTGCAAACTACATTTTCTTAAACTCAGTAGAGAAAGATTCCTGTTAGGACACCATGGGGAGGCGGGGAGTAGTCCTGGGTCTAGTGCACTGTTCCCGGGTGAGAGGAATCGTAACCTGAGACCCCTGAGTGTGGTACACCAGGGCCAGGGTCAAGACGGCGTATCTGGGGGTTCCCGGACCCCACGACCAGGGGCAGGGTCAGGACGGCATGTCCGGGGGTCCCTAATGCGAGAGCCGAGTCCGGGCGGCGCGTCCCGCGGGCCCCGCACCCCAACGGCGGCGGCCGC